ACTCCAGTCGGGACGCGGTGTACCGCTGCATGCCTCAACCGACCGCCCGAAGCAACCACTTTCTGGGCAGTTTCATTGTTCTTTCGCGATTGCACTCGCACCCTTTCAACCATTCCAGCCGACTCAGACCCCCCCTTGGCGACGCCGAAGACCAGCTGTACGTACCGACTGGACAGTCTTCCCGGAAGGGCAGAAGAGCAAGTCATTGTCCCTACAACTGGGCAATACTATTTAAACAATAAAACACACACACACACAACAAGACCAAATTAAAAGTTGATGAGTTTATTTGATCAGCTGATCGGCTGATCAGCTGATCAGCTGATGAGCAGAGTCAGCTGTAGAGCGCGTCCGAGCCGGGGCTCTGGCAGAGAGAGAGAGAGAGAGCGCACGCCGTGGGCGGATGGAGGAGACGGTGGTGGCCAGGTTGTGTGAGGAGATCAGTGACTAGTTGGACTAAGCAAGAGTGAATGAACTACGAACTGGCGTCTGCTGGCGCGAGAGCGGCAAAGTGGGAAAGTGGGAGAGTGGGAAAGTGGGAAAGTGGGAAAGCAGACAGAGGGACCTCAATGCGTCTTGTCGTAGGTGCCCTTTCCCTTGTAATTGCCCACGTATCCCTCGGCCGCCTTGGCGTCATGATCTTGACGACCATCGAGACCTTTGCCCTTGCCGGATTCGTCGAAGCGCTCTTTATGCGAGCCGGTGTACTTGGACGTGTCCGTCAGCCGCGAGGTCGCCGCATCCGACGAGGTCGTCTGACGAGCCGGTTGAGGGTTGGGGGCAAAGAGGAAGAGGCAAGCGGGAGGAGAGTGAGGAGAAGAGGAGAAGTGAACGCTTCAAGAGGGCTGGAATGCCGGTCTCGTGGGCGCAAGGGTGTTACGACAGTGCGTCGGTAAGAGTCGTGTCAAATCGCTGTCGAAACTACAGATTCGTCACAATTGAGGACAAACAGTGACATTTCCCACAGCCACATTAGCAGACCTCGTGACGGCGTTGAAATTCGCACAGCCCTTAAGCCCAAAAGAGGTCTTTCAGCTCGGCCTTCCTCTGCGGGACTCGAACCCGCGTTGGGCCAGTGCAGCTCGTGATCTCGGAATTGCACCCGGTGCTTCTGGGTCGCTTGGCAGATGACAATTTCACAAAGAGCCTGACCTCTTTTGTATATTTTCTTTTCAAAGCAGCAACAAAGTTGTATTAACCAAATTTCGTTTAGGGCGACAAAAGGAATGGAATCAATTTTCCCACAATCATATGAGTTCCACTCAATTTCACATAGCCTTGCCTCACCAAAAGGCAAGGGTGAACTGCAGTTTTGACCTCACCCACGTCTTAGCAACAGCCTCTGCGGGACTCGAACCAGGACACTGCAATTGCAAGCACAATTTTGCATCATTTGTGGCAATGTGACGTAGAGGACTACGTGTCACGATAATGCATTGCACTGTCAAGTTTTGAGTCTCGCTGGGCGCGTTGATGAGACATAAGCGAGATCGAAACGGTTTCGACGCCAGCCTGGATGAGAATACCGTTTGGCAAAGCAAGGCTATGTGAAAAATAAATGGAAATGTCATGTCCACTGATAGGATTGTGAGAACAATCAACTACCAGTTTCTTTATCACCTCAAACGAAATACGGTGAATATATCTCATATTTATGTTCTGCTGATAGTCTCAAAAGCCAACTTCTAAACTAAAATAGGCGACTGGTAGTACGCTTTTCCCAGTCAATTTGCGTTTCCAGTGGATTTCACACCAACTTGCTTCCAAGACGTAATGCCAACCCAGACTAGATTGGACTGCAGTTCCAGTATCGCTTGAGCTAGTAGCATCATCACTCCCGGAGGGACTCGAAGCCTA